TTCTACTAGTTATAATGAAGCAATGAGTAGCAGTGACGCTACACAATGGCTTGAGGAAATAAATGAAGAAAAGCCATTGGTTGCAAATGGGTTCTTAGAAAGAAATTCAAAGTAGATAAAAGTTTGGAGAAATACAAGGCAAGGCTAGAAGCCAAGGGATTTACACAACCACCTAGAGTAGACTCTGTGGACACGTATTCTCCTGTTGCAAAATTTGCCTTAATAAAGATTGTAATGGCGGTAGTAGCCAAGATGGATTTGGAATTGCATCAATTAGATGTTAAAATTGCTTTTCTCAATGGAGAATTAAAAGAGAAAATTTGTATAACGCAACCTGATGGTTTCTAGATCCAAGGCAGCGAGGATAAAGTTTACAGGTTGAAAAGATCCCTGTATCGACTCAAACAATCTTCAAGACAATGGTACTTGAAATTCCACCAAGCCATTTTAGAAACGGGCTATGTTGTGAGTCCATTAGATCATTGTGTTTATATCTAGAAAAATGATGACATTTTAGCAATATTGTCTTTATATGTGGATGACGTATTGTTAGCAGGAAATTGTCCAGATATGATTATAAAAACTGAATTTTTTTTGGCATCTAAATTTTAAATGAAAGACATGGGTCCTGCAACCTATGTTCCAGGAATTAGAATTTCAAGAGATAGAAATTAAAAGTTATTATATCTAGATCAAGAAAAATATATAGGAAAGGTGCTCAAAAGATTTAATATGAATAATTGCAATTCTTTGAGCACACTTGGTTGCAAGGGACAAAGTCTTAGTAAAAGTATGAATCCTTAAAATAAGTCTGAAATTGAAGAAATGAGAGATGTCCCATATGCTAAGGCAGCAGGCAGCCTAATGTATGCTATGACAAGCATAAGGCTTGATATCTATCATGCAATAGGATTGGTAAGTCGATTTCAAGCCAATCCAGACAAGGAACATTGGCAAGCAATTAACAGAATATTTAGATATGTAAAAGGTACCAAGGGTTTAAAACTGTGTTTTGGTTTGTATGATCTAGAAATAAAAGGATACACTTACGCAGATTTTGTAGGAGATGTAGATGATAGAAAATCTACTAGTGGTCATGTGTGTTCCTGTTTGATGGAACAACAGTTTCTTGGTTATGTATGAAAAATTGTTGGTGATAATTACAAATAAAACACCAGAAAATACAAATAAAAAAAATTACAATAACAATTGTAAGGGCTAAGGCGCGGGAAATTCGCTCTCTTTAAGGAGATTCAAGCCATCTGCGGTTAGGCAAAGCCTCACACTGGTGCAGCAGAAAAAACCATGACTTGTCCCTCCCCAGGATACAACAGCCCGACTAAGTCTTATGGTTCACCAATACTGCACAATTGGTTGAACCCAAAGCTTTATCACATACACATTTTATTTCTTTGCCTGATAATCTCTCAAATAAGAAACTTGAGCTACCAATAAGAGAGGTGAAAGGCTCAATTTATAGGAGAAGAAAGCTTGGTCACCAAGAAAGGGGTTAACTTGGAGGAAAAGTATAGGAGAGGAAATTGGTGGGAAATTTCCTTGGAGGCTTGGTGGATAAGAATGAAGACTTGACTTGGAGACTTGGTGGACAAGTTTTCTTAGAGGAAAAGAAAGGATTAACAAGTTATTTGGAGCTCAATCACATAATATAATCTATAACACATTATAATATTAAAATATCTACTAACATTCGCCCACCTATTTTAATATTATAGGTAGCAAAATCTGAGATTATTAGCCTATCGCCTTGCACTACCACCTGAACTATCCAATGTCCACAGTGTGTTTCACGTTTCAATGCTTCAGCGGTACCTTCAAGATCCAGAGCACGTTGTTGATTACGAGGATCTGGAAGTTCAGGAAGGCTTTATGAAGAGTAACCAGTACAGATTCTCGATCGTCGTGATCAAGTTCTCCAAAACAAGACCATACCACTAGTAAAGGTCTTATGGCGAAATTATCATATCGAAGAAGCTACGTGGGAAACGGAAATTCAAATGCGAACCAAATACCCACACCTCTTCGAAAATTAAGGTACGTCAAGTTTGGGGACAAACTTCTATTTAAGAAGGAAGAAATGTGACACCCTGAACGTTTAACTAAATATCACATAAATATTTTTAGTTATATATAATTGTGGGTGTATGTGATAATATATTATTAAATAAATAATAATAAATACAGAATCTAATTTGGCATTGGGTTATCAAATATGTGATTAATTAGGGATTATTATTTGTGGCCAAATTAATAGAATATAGAATTATAATACTAGTTGGGCCAAATTAGAGTTAAAGATAGTAAATAAATAAAATATAAAAGTAAAAGTAAATAAATGTTAATATTAATAATAATAACAATAATAATAATAAAATAGCTAAGCTATATGTGCTATGTAAATTAATTTGTCATTGTGGTTATCAAATATATAATGAGGAGATTTATTTAGGAGCTAAGTTAATCACTAATTAATGTGAAAAGATTAGCATGTATAAATATAATTAAATAAATTAAATATCATTAATTACAAGGATTGCGAATCTGCTGAGATGAAGAAGTGGGGAGCCACCTGGACACCTAGGGTTAAGGAGGGGAGGCGAGTCATCACCTTGGGGCCATTAGATAAGGATGAGTCATATATCATTAATTACAAGGATTGCGAATCTGCTGAGATGAAGAAGTGGGGAGCCACCTGGACACCTAGGGTTAAGGAGGGGAGGTGAGTCATCACTTTGGGGCCATTAGATAATGATGAGTCATCACTTGAAGTTATGTGTATAAATAGGGGGAGGAGGTGCTGCAAAGTGAAAGGAAAAACAAAGAAAAAAAAAAGGAGAAGGAATCAACAAAAAGAAGGAAAAAAAAAAAAAAAAAAAAAAAGAAAGTAAAATAGAGAGCAAGAGAGGGGCCGAAAACCACCAGAAATAGAAAGGGATTAGTAAGACTCAATCTTAAGGTAAGTTATATTATATCTTGAGTCACCATAATAAATTTTATATATGTTTTGACTTACCATAATTTATTTTATATAAAATATATTTTATAAGTTATATTAATATTTCAACTACATGGATTAATTTTGGAACTCTGTTTGTTTAAAATGAAACCCATGGATATGTTTGTTTAAATTTTAAAGAATATTTGACTATGACCTTATAAATAATTATGTTTTGTAAATACCACCACGGGAGTCCCACGTCTTGGGGGACTTAAATAACCATTGGCCTCTGTTTGACCATTTTGTGGTCCTCTGTTTGTCATGGATCCATTGACCTTTGTTCTGATTGTCGCTTCTGTGACTTCTGTTTTGTTCTGTTCTCTACCGTGGTTATGGTTATTTATTTACATAATTTTTGTATTTCAATTTTTGCCACTTAAATGATTTATTTACCAAATTGAGTTATGTAAATATTTTGGCCGAACTAACTATCCATGGTTATTTTGTATTCCCTATACTTTTGGCATAATATTTCTCACTCTGCTATGTGCTTATAGCTGTTACCCTTTTAGGTGACGAGATGTAGGGGAAACTCATAACCTCACGTAATGGAACCCGCACGAGAATTGATGTTGAACCACTATTCTTCTTTTCTTTTTTTTTTCTTTTTATATTTTTGCTCCCTTTTGTTTCTACTTGGGGCCGGTCACTGAATAATAAAATAATAAAAGCCCTATAGATGTATTTTCTCTTATTCAAATAGTAAAGTGGAGTAATTTCCTGTTTAATTATTTTTATTTATGCTTACGCAGTTTAATTTGCTACGAATTTTGTTATGACCCAACCCCAGGGTCTTAGGGTTGGAATCGCAACTTACTAATTTATTCTATTCGTAGCAAATTAAACTGCGCAAGCGGAAATAAAATAATTAAACAGGGAATTACTCCACTTTACTATTTTAATAAGAGAAAATACATCTATAGGGTTTTTATTATTTTATTATTCAGTGACCGGTCCCGAGTAAAAACAAAAGGGAGCAAAAATATTTAAAAAAAAGAAAAAAAAAAGACAAAATAGTGGTTCAACATCAATCCTCGTGCAGGTTCCATTATGTAAGGTTATGGGTTTCCCCTACATCTCGTTACCTGAAAATGTAACAGCTATAAGCACACAGTAGAGTAAGAAATATTATGCCAAAAGTATAGGAAATACAAAATAACCATAGATAGTTAGTTAGGCCAAAACATTTACATAACTCAATTTTGTGAATAAATCATTTTCAAATTATTTAAAGTGGTAGAAATTGAATTACATAAATTATGTAAATAAATAATTATAACCACGGCACAGAACAGAACAGAGGTCACAGAAGTGACAGTTAGAACAGAGGTCAATGGATCAATGACAAACAGAAGACCAAAAAGTGGCCAAACAGAGGCCAATGGTTATTTAAGTCTCCCAAACCATGGGACTCCTGTGGTGGTATTCACAAAACATAATTGTTTATAAGGTCATAGTCAAATATATATACTAAAATTTAAACAACCACATCCATAGGTTTCATTTTAAACAAATAGAGTTCAGAAAATAACCCACGTAATTGAAATATTAATATAATTTATAAAACATAACTTGTATAAAATAAATTATGGTAAGTCAAAACATACGTAAAATATATTATGGTGGCGCAACGTTATACTCTTCAAGTATTTACAAATCTACGTATTTAATTGTTAATTATTTTCTCTTGGCTTTATTATCAGTATGCTTATTATTATAATTACCATTTCTTACTATTATTATCATTATTATTCTTATTCCATATATTTATTTTATTATTATTGTTATTATTGTTCTTATTATTAAATTATACTTTATCGCATACCATGGCAAAATTAATTATTTTAATTTACTATTATAGATTATTATTATTATTTTTATTAATAATTGTGGTTCGTTGTGGTATTAATTAAATATTTAAGGTGTCACATTTCTCCCCTCCAATGTCCACAATGTATTTCACGTTTCAATGCTTCGGCGGTACCTTTGAGATCCAGAGCACGTTGTTGATTACGAGGATCTGGAAGTTCAGGAAGAACTCTCTTATGAAGAGTAACCAGTGCAGATTCTCGATCGTCGTGATCAAGTTCTCTGAAACAAGACCATACCACTAGTAAAGGTCTTATGGCGAAATCATCATATCGAAGAAGTTACGTGGGAAATGGAAAGTCAAATGCGAGCCAAATACGCACACCTCTTCGAAAATTAAGGTACGTCAAGTTTGGGGACAAACTTCTATTTAGGAGGGGAGAAATGTGACACCCTGAACGTTTAATTAAATATCACATAAATATTTATAGTTATATATAATTGTGGGTGTGTGTGATAATATATTATTAAATAAATAATAATAAATACAGAATCTAATTTGGCATTGGGTTATCAAATATGGGATTAATTAGGGATTATTATTTATGGCCAAATTAATAGAATATAGAATTATAATATTAGTTGGGCCAAATAAAAGTTAAAGATAGTAAATAAATAAAATATAAAAGTAAAAGTAAATAAATATTAATATTAATAATAATAACAATAATAATAAAATAGCTAAGCTATATGTGCTATGTAAATTAATTTGTCATTGTGCTTATCAAATATATGATGAGGAGATTTATTTAGGAGCTAAGTTAATCACTAATTAATGTGAAAAGATTAACATGTATAAATATAATTAAACAAATTAAATACCATTAATTACAAGGATTGCGAATCTGCTGAGATGAAGAAGCGGGGGCCATCTGGACACCTAGGATTATGGAGGGGAGGTGAGTCATCACCTTGGGGCCATTAGATAAGGATGAGTCATCACTTGAAGTTATGTGTATAAATAGGGGGAGGAGGTGCTGTAAAGTGAACGGGGAAACAAAGAAGGAAAAAAAAAAGAAAGAGAAGGAATCCACGAAAAAAAAGATAAAATAGAGAGTAAGGGAGGAGCCAAAAACCAATGGAAATAGAAAGGGATTAGTAAGACTCAATCTTAAAGTGAATTATATTATACCTTGAGCCACCATAATAAATTATATATATATTTTGACTTACCATAATTTATTTTATACAAATTATATTTTATAAGTTATATTAATATTTCAACTACGTGGATTAATTTTTGAACTCTGTTTTGTTTAAAATGAAACCTATGGATATGTTTGTTTAAATTTTAAAGAATATTTGACTATGACCTTATAAACAATTATGTTTTATAAGTACCACCACCAATTGAGGCATTATGACTGGGGTGATTATCACCCAGGTGGGGACTTGTGTATACAAGTATATAAGAGAGTGGAGGGGACCTTGCGGAAGGAGTAAAGAAATGAGAGGAAAAGGAAAAAAAGAAAAAGGAGAGATAGAGAGGAGCAAGAAGAAGGTCTCAAAAAGCCGGCGTAACTAGGAATAAAATAGTAAGGGTCAATAATAAGGTGAGTTATATTATACCTTGAGTCACCATAAAATATTTTACGTATGTTTTGACTTACCATAATTTATTTTATAAAAGTTATGTTTTATAAATTATATTAATATTTCAATTACCCAGGTTATTTTCTGAACTCTATTTATTTAAAATGAAACCTATGGATATGGTTGTTTAAATTTTAGTATATATTTGACTATAACCTTATAAACAATTATGTTTTGTAAGTACTACCACGGGAGTCCCATGCCTTGGGGGACTTAAATAACCATTGGCTTCTATTTGGCCACTTTGTGGTCTTCTGTTTGTCATGGATCCATTGACTTCTATTCTTACTGTCACTTCTGTGACCTCTGTTCTGTTCTGTTCTGTACCGTGGTTATAGTTATTTATTTATATAATTTCTGTAATTCAATTTCTGCCACTTTAAATAATTTGAAAAAACCTATGTTCTAGGAATTAGAATTTCAAGAGATAGAAATTCAAAGTTATTATATCTAGATTAAGAAAAATATCTAGACAAGGTGCTCAAAAGATTTAATATGGATAATTGCAATTCTTTAATACACCTATTTGCAAGAGACAAAATTTTAGTTAAAGTATGAGTCCTCAAACTAAGTCTGAATTGAGGAAATGAGAGATGTCCCATATGCTCAGGCAGTAGGCAGCCTAATGTATGCTATGACAAGCACAAGTCCTGACATCTGTCATGCAGTCGGATTGGTAAGTAGGTTTCAATCCAATCCATGTAACAAACATTGGCAAGAAGTCAAAAGAATTTTCAAATATTTAAAAGGCACTAAGAATTTGAAATTATGTGTTGGTTTGTGTGATCTAGACATAAAAGGATACACTGACGTAGATTTCACAGGACATATGGATGATAGAAAATCTACTGGTGGTCATGTATTCCTGTTTGGTGGAATAACAATTTCTTGGTTAAGTAAGCAATAGAGTTGTGTTGCAAAATATACTATGGAAGTTGAGTATATAGCTTGTAGCATAGCAAGAGTAATGCGATCTGAATAAAGCGATTTATTGATAGTTTACAATTTGGTATGCCTGCCAGACCGGTCAATATGTTTTGTGACAATCAGTCTACCATCTCATTAATAAAAAGTGAAGCGGATAGCTCTAAGGGAAAACATATTGATGTAAGTTATCACTATATTTAGGACATAGTGGATAGAGGTGAAATTAAAGTCAACTATATACCCTCAGAAGAGATGGTGGTCGACCCTCTGACCCAAGGGTTGTCTGTAGAAAAATTCAAAGAACATGTAGCTAATATGGGATTGAAAAATACCTAACTATGTGGTTTAGCTACTTATATAAAAGCATAGTCGGATGACTCTGGGGACACTTGGATAACCGATGTGATGCGACTCTATCTTACATAGAAACATGTGTTTGGTCAGGTAATAAGATAGAGGAACTAACAAGGTACGAACATCATAGTTAGCATGAGATGTAAAGTCCGTTATATGCAACATGCAGACTAAATGGTGTAGCCTGCTTGATCAACAAAAAGTCACTAATAAGGTGTGTTAAGGAAAACCTTCAGGAATGGGCCTTAAAGTGTTGTCTGCTTGATCAGTAAAAAGTTGCCGATAAGGTGTGTTAAGGAAAACTTTCAGGAATGGGCCTTAAAAGAAGTACTTAACAATAATTTCAGCGCAGGTCAACACATGAGAAATGTGTGTGGCAAAAGTCATCAATGGTGATTGGGTATGGACTATGAACCCAGCACTGAAAATTGACGTCGTTCAATTGAAATATAGTGAATTGAAGTCATCTGGAGTGTGTTGTCAGTGGGAGAACACATTCGTACTAATGGGGTCAGATTGGTGGCAAAAACGTGCGCACGTATGGCCAAGTCACAATCGGACGTCGATCTATGAAGTAATTTCATAGATGAAAGTTGGTATGATGCAAAATTTTGGTACTAAGGTAAACATGCTCAACTCAGGTTATGTCACCTCATTATGATGTGATCAAGTGGGAGATGTTAGATTAAGTGTGACCACACCATAATGTGGTGTGCCTCTCCATACTTGATCATGACCCAATGGATGGTGCATACCTTCTCGCAAGGAAATGGAACAATCTGGAAATTCAAGTGTTTGAATTTTGAACACAATGGACACATTGTTTCATGACATTGTGGCTATTAGTTTTGTATAAGATATTCGAAAAGTTGTGACCTTTGGTAATGGTTGCCAATATGTTTATAAATACTTGGTAGAATGTGTTCTTAAGACATGATTTAAAAACCATTGAACTAGCAACACAAGTATGCTTTCGACTTATTTTTTTCATCTTGCGTGATAAACACCCTCGCGGAAGTATTGATCATCATCATAATTTGTTTTTCCTTCAATAAACAGGTTAATAAACTTTAAAACAAATCATATTAACAATATCTTACAAAACTTAAAAGTTTCATGTAAATTGATAATATGTAAATAAAATAATAAAATCATATATTTCACAAATAACATGCAAAATGCGGCAGAAATTTTAGTTGACCCAAGTTCTAGTCACTAAATACAGAAGTCACAAATATCTTATTTTCCGAATTACACCTCATTGATTGTAAACACATACTAACAAAAATTATATTTATCATGCAATAGAGAAAGCAAAATTTAAAATAACAATTATAATTAAAAACACATAACTTGTTCGTAACAATTTCTTTCATGGCATATGAAAAGTATATTCTTCCTTGAAGATTACATGTCAATTATAGGCAAACACTTTCTCACCAAGAAACAACAAATATAGGCATGCAATTATTCATATAATACTAATTTCAAAAGCAGAATAGAAAATAACTCATACCTGGCAATTTAATTTTCATTATCATATAAAATTGCACATATATAGGAAATGCATTCCTTGTTTCTTAATCCGCTATATACCATAAATAAAATTGAATACAGCCTTTCTTGTTGTACATAATTTCAAATACACATTAATGTGCTTCCATCTTTTTAGAATATCGTCTTAAGATTGTTGGTGCAAATTTGGTTAATGAGATGGAAAGAGATAAAACAATTAGTATTGCTTCAAGGCGCGTTACAACGTCGCTTTCCTTAAGATGATATTTGCCCCCACCAATTCTGTCGAATATGTTATGCACCGGTTTACTTGCAAATTTGCCTCTAGAATACAATGAAACCCAGTCTAAAGACTGATATCTGACTGTGTTATGCACAAACGAAATTAGATCCCAAATACCTTTGGATTTTCTAATCCACCAAGTATAAGGAAAATAACAATATGAATGTTAGAGAGAAATTCCATGGATATTCTATGATGATTTTTATCCAATTTCCATCCCATTCTGCTTTTATATAGACATGAGTTTGTGTCCCTTAGACCAAAGGTCATGTCCTTTAAATTTGAAAGTGACACCCTTTAAATCCAAGAGTCATGTCTTTTGGTTTAAATCCAATAGCTATACCCCATAGTTTAAATCCAAAAGACACACTTTTTTGTTTAAATTCAATGGTTACACCCTTTGGTTTAAACTTAAAAGTCACATCTCTTTAATCATTCATATAACTATATTATATATTTAAATATAAGGACATTTACACACAAGTCCTAATTTATGAATTTATATTTCATTAGGTCCTAACTAAGATTTTTTGGACCTTTAAATCTCATTAAATTTTTAATAATATGAATTATCTTTCAAACAATGATGGTTCATCATTTATGATTATCTATAAAGGTAACATGATGATTTGACATTTATTTTGATTTTCAAAATTTTAAAATATCAACTTCAAATTGAAAACACTAAAAAAAAAAAAAACATAGAACTTTGTGCAAAACTGAAAATTTTGTGTCTGTAAAGGAACATGATCATGGAACATTGATGAGTAAAACTGGAAAAAAAAAAAAAAAAACCTATAATGTTCTCAGTTTTAAAATTGGAAAAAACTATTAATGTTCTCGGTTTTATTGGATAGTTGAATCAAATCAATAAATAAAAAGAAAAAAATGTTTAATCTCATGTTCTATTTTTGTCCGTATCAGTTAGTGAAACAATTATTTAGAACATTATTATACAAAATTGATAATGTTCTTATTTTTAAAAATTAAAAAAAAATGATAATATTCCCAGTTTTACTAAATAAGACTTATTAGTTGAAAAAATCTTACATAGAACCTGAGCTACCATAACATTTGTAAATAAAATTTTTAAATAATTAACTCTTAAATTTATATAAATATATTATGAACAATTCTTTCCTGCTCGTTACCCTTCTTTTGAAGAGTGAAATATTCGTTAGTTTTAGTAGAAGGGAATGGAATTTTTGGCCTCTGCTTTCCACATAAAAACACAACCAAGTATTTTTCGTAAGTATAGAGAAGAAAATTCTATAATCTTATCCTATAGAATTCCCAAATAAAAAAACAGGATCTACCATCTAACTAGGGGAGCTCGATCTAACTTGCCTCGTGTTGATTCTACCTACTCCTTGTAAAACCCAAGTAATTTATGAATTATTTTGGATAGATTAATAATTAAAATAAATTGTATGGGTAATTTAGTAATCTTAAGAATTAGGTTTTCAACCCTTTTAAAAAAAGAAAGAAAAAAGGAAAGAAAATGGAGCCTTGTGAAAGTGCTGCTAGGTATTTGGAGGCTGCTGCTGCTCAACGGTTTGAAGAGTGGAAAAAAAAAAGAAAAAAAAAAAGAGAGACCTAAACCAAAAGGAAGAGGGAGGATTCATAAGAGTGGTGATTTTGCTTTATTCATCACTTAGGTTTGTGAGATTGAGGTGGATCTTGGTAATTTGAGATTAGCTTGGAAAATATTATTTTAGCTGTTTGAAGGTAAGTAACACTCTATCACTGTTGGTTCATTTTTTTTATTCCTATCGAATCGTTTAAAATCATAAATATTTATTTATAGCCTTCATGTTCTCTTAAAATAAAATATGGGTCAAGTATAAAATAACATCGAATATTATTATGAAAATTATTTGAATATTTGGTGAAACTATTCTGAAAATTGTACTAAATGTTTATTCTGAAAATATCGAATGTTTTATTTAAAAGTTGTGTATTGTTTGAATTTTGAACATCACTCTAGTCTGACTATGATTTGGACCCTAGCTAATGGGGGTTATTTATTGGCACAAAAACTAGTTTCTTTTGGGGCTTTACCACCGGCCTATGTGTGGTTCTGGGCGTTGTCACGGGCTAAGTGACCATAGTCATTAAGACTTGGGTTTTGTGAATCAAATCATAGAACCATCTGAATATCGAACCATCGATTTGAACAACGAATTACTTTGAATTATCTTGTTAGCTTTTCATTTAAAATGTATTGTACATTGTTTATTTTTAGCTATGAAACCACCTTACAAATAATTGTTCATTTATTGAACTGTAAAAAAAAATTATATTTATTGGTTATCGATTTATTTATTTATTTTTGTATACTTGATCCAGCTAGCAGTGGTGGTTGGTTATTTACTGGGCTATCTAGCTTACCCTTATTTTCTTTCAGATTCTGAAGAGTAGAGCTTACGCGGGATTTTTTTACATGTGGGAGTATCGAGAGTAGGACCATGATTTAAGTACTTCGATTATTGTTTTGTTAGTGGATTAAATTAGTGGACTTGGTGGACATTTTCATATAAGAACTATTTATTTTTATGGATTTTGGCATTATGACAATTAAGGATTTAATTTGAGTATTTTCCATTGTGGGTTATGTGATTGGATTCTTAACCTTGCATGCTCACTTATATGAGTGTGCGGCGTTGTCACGGAGCTTGGGGCGTGACACTCCCACTAAGAAGAAATAACATCCATTAAAAATTACAGGTATATTGACTGTGGACTTGGAGCACAGCCCATCATTGTTGACCTGAGGAGGGAGCCAATTTGAGTCTTCCATTTCTTTATTTTTGTGATCTTCAAGTCTTCTCTCATCCCCCCCACTCCACTCTTATCTTCCTTCATCGTCTCATTATAACAATTGATTGCCATTCCAAATCTTGTGTGCTAACAACCACATCGACAGTTGTGTAGGGCTCCAAAGCTGAGAAATATGTCAGCTTTTCACAGTGAGAATAAAATTACAAATGGTGTGTATCAATCCAAGGAATTGTGCCGTTGGTTTTCATTTGTTGAGATTCAATTGGCGACCAACAACTTCGATGATGCTTTGGTCATTGGGAAAGGTGGATTCGGTAAGGTGTATAAAGGGTTCATCGACGGTGGAGCTACCACTATCGCCATTAAGCGATCGAATGCAGAGTCTAAACAAGGGGCAACAGAGTTTTGGACTGAGATCAAGACGCTTTCCAAGCTCAGGCACACACATCTTATGGCTCTGATTGGCTACTCTGATGATTGTGAGGAGATGATACTTGTTTACGAATACATGGCCAATGGGACACTCGCCGATCATCTCTACAAAAGTAGTAGGAAAGGAAACGGGAATGATATTTATCATCTTACTTGGGAGGAGAGGCTCAAAATTTGTATTGGACCTGCCCATGGATTAGACTACCTTCATACGGATACGAAGCAAGGTGTCATACACAGGGACGTGAAGACAACAAACATTCTGTTGGATGAGAATTGGGTAGCTAAGATTTCAGATTTTGGGTTGTCCAAAATGGTAAACACAAGCCATACACGAACCCACGTTAGTACAGATGTTAAAGGCACATTTGGTTATTTAGATCTAGCGTATTTCTTGACTCGTAGACTAACTAAGAAATCAGATGTGTATGCCTTTGGTGTGGTTCTATTTGAAGTGTTATGTGCGAGGCCACTAGTGGATACAAGTGTTGAGGAGGACCAAATGGGTCTAGCCCTATGGGTTCAAAATTGCATCAAAAAGGGAACCTTTGACCAAATCATTGATCTCTCTATAAGAGGACAAATATCACCAAATTGTCTAAAGGTGTTTGTAGAAGTTGCTAACAAATGTTTACATAATTATCCAAAAGGAAGGCCTACAATGAGTGAAGTTGTGGAGAGCCACAAGCATGGATTGGCATCACAGGTCAATATTCGTATATCTCGAAAAATGAAAATATTAACCAATCTATTTTTGAGAACTGCACATGTAGTGGCTAATGGTATTGATCTTGGGTGGAGGAAGTGGAAGAACTGGGGTCCTAGGAATGGAGTGTCAGGGTAGTTGTGGAGGGATCTGGTTGAGAACGGTGTCATTCAATCATTTCGTCATTTCTCCCTGACAGAGATTCGAGCGCTCACAAATAATTTTCATGAGCTTTTGGTGATCGGGCAAGTTGCTGACACCAAAGTGTATAGAGGCCATATCAACTGTCACGACCCAAACCCGCCCCTATGGGTTTAGCACCGTAACCGGCTAGTAATCCGAGATTACCGAAGGCCTACTTAATAGTGATACAGTAATACAGAGTACAAGGGCTGGCGAAAGCCAAAACAGTAATTAAAAGATGTCTAATGAGCTGTGACAGTCTGTATGCAAAAAGACTTTTCATATATATATATACAATTAGTATCAAAACAGTATATACAATATATACAATCATTCAGAACAGGGACTTAATCCCTATTAGAACAGTACAGTACAACACCATTCAGTCTATACAGTAGTTACAAAACAGATACAAAAAAGGGGAAACTAAAACACCCCAAAAGCCCTAGCTTGAAGGACTTGGAACCTCTCAGTGAGGCACAGTGGTTGGCTTGACAAAACTGGAGTTTACCCTGACGCTTCTAGCAACGGTCCGGTGCCTGTACACCTACATATATATATATGAGCAGTGAGCTAAAGCCCAGTGAATAACATATGCGTAAAGAGGTTAAGAATGAATATCCTTTCAGTATTAAAAACAGTCATTTAAACAGTATATCAGTCATTCAGTTTGTGGCTTATAAATCATGCCACACAGTAATTCAAAAACTATAATAGTCATATGTGGTACACCCAATAGCAAAACAGTACAGTACGTCTTAACAGACCGAGCAGTCAATGATGGCCATTAGTAATGGTTCCAAACATGGGAATCGATAGAGATCTCTGTAACAGTAGCAGTAACAGTTCAGTAACAGTATATTGCTATGGATGCCACGAATACAGTTCACAAATAGGACAAACATTCATTCAGTAAACAGTGTCATTTCATAAACCAGTACAGTCATTTGTTCAGAAAATAATCTCAATTGAACATATCTTTACAACATTGTTACTCACAGAGTTCTGGGCTACAGATAAGCTAGCACGCGTCCTCGGATGCCAACCCTACACAGTTATAGAGTGAATACACACTAAGCTACACAGTTGGGAAAAATAATAACTTAATCCCTAATTTGCCTCGGTATGGTTCTACATCAATATCCTCATTAAGATGCCTTAAACTAGGCCTAAGAATGCCTAGAATGGAATGTGGATGCAAAGATGCACTTTAAAAACATTTTCAGAATTTTCAGAAAACAGAGGTCCCGCTCGAGCGTGGGTTTTCCCGCTCGAGCGTACATACAAACAAAAGTCTTCACTCGAGCGTAAACTTTCCCGCTCGAGCGTACTGCAAAAGTACTGGATGTGTGAAAATCACGCTCGATACCCGCTCGAGCGTGTGACACAAGTCCTCGCTCGAGCATGAAAAACCCCCGCTCGAGCGGACTGTAAACACAACAAAAGTGCTGGATACACGAATTTCCCGCTCGAGCGCCAATTACCCCGCTCGAGCGGGAGTCCAAAATCTAGAATTTCCAGATTTGAACCTCAAGCTCAAAATCAAGTTTCAATATACCAAATTCGATCATTTTGGGCTAATTTTCTGGAAAACACTTTAAAACTCATAATATAACATGATTAAAAGCTCAATTTGGAAAATCAAGGCCCAAAGGTGAGTCAATTGAACACAAATTCAAACAAATTCCATGAACATGATGTAAAACATAACATGCATGAATTTAATCAACTTCAAGCTTTCGAAACATGAACAAATGAGCCAATTCTTTCTATAACAAGATGAATTCATGGACTATACTCAAGATATGGACATGCATGTGAGGAATTTCCATGAAAACAATTTTAAACTTCAAAATATATACATGCATGCAAGAATTAAGCCTCATTCAACAATCTTAACCAATTCTAGACTCAGCTCTTCAATTTAGCATGAAACATGAAAGAACTAACTTAAATTCACAATTAAAAGGATGGACACACTACCTTAGGTCCTCAAACTCAAGAATATAAGCTCAATTGCCCAAATCCTCTATAAATTCTTTAAGTCTCCAAGCAAATATAAGATGAAATCAATTCTTTTAAGTCTCTCTCTCTAGTCGGCTAAGGCTCAAGGAGTGGCTGATGAAATGTACAAAATGAGATGAAAGCAAATCCCAATAGGTCCCATGTAGTGGGCCCCTAATGTGGCAAATTAGTAAATAAGGCCAACTCTTGTAATTTAGCTTATTTAATCTAATTTAATCATATCAAATCACATTCCAATTAAATATACCATAAAATCATATAAATCTTAATTAGCACAAAACATTAATCAATTTCAGATTCGACCGCCGATAAGGCCTTCAATTTACTATTTAAAGCATAAAACATGAACAGATAATTTAACAGTCAACAGATAGAATTGCATTCAAACTAGCACAATCAATCAATCAGTTTAGTAATTCAGTCAGTCAGTCAATTAACATGCTTAATCATGGATTAGCATTAATCAATGGTGAGGGTTGTCACATCAACCGTCGGAATCTTGAGGTGGCAATTGAAAGATGGAAAGAATGAACAGCAAGAGAGAGTAACTTAGACCAATTTAGGGCTCAAATCCAGGTGCACTCCCATCTACGTCACCTTCACATTGTTTCTTTAATTGGATACTGCATTGATAAGCATGAACTAATCCTTGTGTACGAGTATATGGTCTATGGGTCTCTCGACAATCACCTCAATGAAACCAACAAATGTTCACTTAACTGGGAAAAGCGACTTGAGATTTGCATTGGTGTTGCAAGAGGACTGCAATACCTCCATGCGGGTACAAGGCAACCAATCATTCATTGGAACTTGAATCCTGCCTATATTATGTTGGATGAGAATTGGAATGCGAAAGTACTACACTGCACTGTAACAAGTAGATGCACTGTGGGATATGATTGTTACATGCACCGTGGGATATGATGATCCAGAATACCTGCAAAGCTTTGTATTAGGATGAACAACACAAAAAATTCAATGAGATATTGCTGAAATATTTTAACAAGAAATAAATAATCAACTTCACTTGTCATCAACCAAAAACTAAATAATTCAACCTAGAAGGTTCATTGAAAAAGAGATAAAGATATTATCAACTCATCGAAAAGCTAAAACATTACGTATGTTATTTTGATAAGATTTCTCAAGGCTATCTCAACTTGCATTTGGGTTTGGTAGGTCTATTTTGGGATCCATTCACTTTTAAATTCGTTAAATAAAATATTCATATAAAAGATTAAGATGATATCAGTAATTATATGTTTGAATCACATTTGTATTATAAAAAATAAATAGTTATTCTTAAAATTATTTTTGTAATCTATTTTTATAATATATATATATATATATATAATTCAAACATATAGCTAATATATGAATCATCTTTATTTTTTTTAATAAATATAATACTCAATTAATCATAAAACATGAACGATTCAAATAATTAAAATCAATCTCAAAATAAGTCTACCAAGCCTTACTAAAAAGTCAAAAAGCCACTATACATTGCCACATTTATCTACTTTTTACACATATTTTCATAAAAAATAACAAAAATTATTAAAAAAAATTATTCCCAAGCGAGCCAAACCAATGATATGCTAGATCATGTGAGGAGAAGGAAAGAATGGCATACCTAAAAATTAGGTTCCATGTAACGAACTCTATCATCACCAATTTTGAAACTATAACAGACCCATCAAACATTGGGAGTGTTTGTTTGGATTTTTTTTAGCCAACTTGTAGTTTCCAGCTTTGGAAAAGCTATTTTGAATTGTTTGGTTAAACTTATTTCAAAAAGCTTCTGATTCTAACAATTTATTTTAACTCAAAAAAAACTGATTCTGAGAAGCTATCCACCCCTTACTTCTGCTTATCAGCTTCTACTGTGAACATGTTAATTTACAGTTATATCCTTAGATTTTATTTTATTTTTAAATAGAAAAAGACCCAAATAGACTATAGAATATTATTATTTTTATATGAGAAATGTAGACAAATAGTGAATAACAAAAAATAAAAGTTAATTGAAAAAGCTATTTCATAGTTTGTTTAAGAAATACTACTCAGCAACTTAAATTTATAATCCAACAGCTACACCAAACAAATCAACAGCTTCTAATTAAAGTCATAATCTACAATATAATCTATAATCTGTTTTAACAAGTTACACCAAATGGGACCATTGTAGCCTCGGTTTTTATAGTTTCGTTCTCTCCAAATTTGCCTATCAATGAAATCCACTGCTTGCCAAGTTGATCTTCCTCATTGAATGCATTAAATTCCGTAGTGGGCAAGACAATTTTAGCACATAATGTAATTGTTGACTTTTTGGCTTTCGAAGGTTATTATTGTAATTTTAAGCGTGCCAGCAAGGATCAATTAGTCCTTATAGAAGATTAATTGCCAACCAATTATCAGACGATTGTGTTTTAGTTCTTTTAGCCTCAATGAAGAAGACTTTTACTGGTGGTTTTGTTTAGGATAAGCAAACAAAGATCAAATAAAGAACAATTGTAACATTTCATTAAGTAAAAATGAAAGACTTACAATGATCCAATTCAGCCTCGTAGAGGTTTACAGTAACAAACTACTAGAAACTACTCCTATGGACGAAGTGCAGTGCAGAAATTTGAAGTACAGAAATGTAAAGAACAAGAAATGTAAAAACTGGAAGGAAAATAAAGTGGATAAAAATTGGTTTTTTAGATCTGAGTCTGGGCGCTCTTTCTGGGGCCTTCTCTACTATTTATACCTTTTAATGATAACCGTCGAAATGAGTTTCTAACTGTCGAATCATCCCTCCATGATTGCTGATCATGTTTCCTCACAGTTAGCTCCACTATGCCATGTCTGCAGTTAGGCTTCCCTCCTGATTTTGAATTTAAATATATGAGTAACTGTTAAAGCCACATCAGCTTGCATCTCTTTGCTGATCTAGTGCTATGTAGATCCACAATAACCAATACTAACTGCTACGTGTGTGATTACGATTGAAGATTTGAATTGTCTTCCCCTATTGTCCTCATCCTGCCACGTGTTAAACTATGATTAGCCTATACAAAATATGTAGCCAACATTACCCCCCGCACTAATATACCTAATACTTGATGATATTAGTGGATCAAAGTATTTTTTCCACGTCTTAGAACGTGCATGAGCTTTGCATTTTTTCAGAAATGCAACCGTCATTCATCAATGAAACATTTGCATTAAATTTTCTTCTATCCTTTGAACATTCCCACTATCTCAGTATTCGAAAAGACTGGTACAGCTCGAATGGCCAAGCAAACCTTTTCTTACCTCGATCAAGCATATGAAGAATTGTTTGATAATGTTGTTCATCCTCGAAAGAACCTTCATGCATTGATTAGCCACCTTTACCCACCTTCCTATGTTCAAGTCATGGAAGCTTTTGCAAACTATCAACCTTTGGATTATGAACCTATTGTCCACAATTCTTTAACCCAAAATTTTGCAAACATGGATATTGGAAGCTCTTCTTCTGACCCAAAACCTTCTGCGTGGGATGAGGCTGCAGCTTCTTCTTCTTCTGGGGCTTCTGGTTGGAGAAGTTGGCCAGAACCTGAGGAGTCCAAGTTAAGAGAGCGAATCAATCATCATTTTGTCGAATTTGTTGATCCTCTAACTTTCCCACATTTTTCTCGGAGTTCGGTGGTTTACCCATATGTACCCATCGACCGCCGACGCCGTTTGGAAGACAACTTACTTGTAGCATGGTACACTTATTCCATGCCTACAAAGATAGTACAAGCTACTCATCGTCCAGAAGAGGCTCAAGGGTATAGCCCGTCATTCTTAGCCCAGAAGGCAAAACTTTGCTCTTCTGATTGGCTCGATATCGTCAACAACTCCCAATTTCCACCTTCTTTCGAGATAGAAGCTCTTGCGCCTCCTTTTCCACAAAATCCTCACTGGATAGAGAAACTGAGACTTACTCTCTTTGAGGACCAGTTTCTCCCCTCTTATAACCCTTCATCTCTCCCTACTAAATATCAGCGACAATAAGCCCAACTTCTGCTTGTGGCCTTTTCTCACTTGCCCTTCAATGTTCTCGAGGACGATATTCTTCTTAAGAACATTCGATGGGCTTATGATGTTATAACCCGGGGTCATGTCCTCAACCTTATCGCCCAAGTAGAGCTCCAGATGTTTTTAGACCAACTCTCACTGTTTGTTCATTGGCATCACATTTCTACGGCCACCACTCGATCTTTGGATCAAATCTCAACCCGTCGAATTCATACCCGGTATGAAGCAGATAACCTCATTGACAAATATGATGATTTCAAGAATAAAGACTCTACTTACTGGGATGACTTGGACACGGATGAGATAGACCAAGGGTTAAAAGAAATAAAGTTTGAAATAAAGGCCGAAACAAGTAAGGGCATATCAACTTCAGCAGCCTAGCCTGGAGAAGATAGAAGATAGAATAAAAAAGGAACAGAAGTTCATTGACCATAGTTGGAACAAGTTCCATGACCTTGTCATTTACTCTATTCCTTATTTTTATGAACTTGAATATGTAGCCAAGGAAGGCTTCTAATGTAATTCCTTTTGTCTTAATAAAGCTAAGATGTTTTCTCTTTATTTGGCATGGTCTGATTTTGCTCCATTTGTCAAAATCAAACAAAATTATGGCTTTGAATTCATCAAGTTTGTCCTTCGACACTTGATTTGATCATACCCAATGAAATACTGGAAACCTAATTTGAACTTTTCCAACATATGGGGTGTAATTGACAACTTTTGCCTTAGGTCTCCTTTCAAAATTAGAGCTTCGAATTCACTAATTTTGCCCTTCGAAACTTGATTTGATCATAACCAATTCCTTCACATATGGTTAGTACAATGAAGTAGTTTTAAATCAACTAATTTTGCTTCAAACAAACAGTCTATATTTTCCAAAATATGGAAGCCTTTTTCAAGGACTGCACTGTTTTATTCTAAAAAGTGATTGTATACTACTAAACCAACTATTGGTTTGAAACCTGGAACAAACAAATTCTAACCGTAAGGTATTTCAAATTTTGCTTCTAAGGATTTTACTCTCATCAAGAAACCTAAAAACAGGTCTTTAATCATTTTGAAGTAAATAAACACCTGAGCATTCTTACACCCTTAGGTGTGGAATGTGCTTCGAAGTCGACTTCCTGCTTTCGAAGCCGTTTGTCACTTGATTTTGGCTCCAAAACTTGGCTTCGAAGCCAAATGTTTTATTTCAAAGCTAACATTAGTATTTGAGATACGTTTCCCTCTATAACTATCAACATTGAGGGAAACTTTTCGCACCCGTACCTTTAGTACTTCTTTATGAATTCCGCCCATATAAAATGACTGGGTGTTTTTTAGACAGAAAGGTTTAAAAACCCTTTTATTTTGTGCTCCCAATCCACTTGGTCGTCTAACACACAAACCTTCATCTTCTACTGGCTTTCTCTTTCCCCTTACTCTCTTTCTCGACTTCGTCTTCTGAGAAAACTCTCTATCAATGGCTTCTTCTTCCTTGAAAATACCGGTTGTGGAGCGTGCGAGTCCATCTGTAGCCTTGAAAAGGATCATTGATGAAGAGTGTAAGAAGTACAAGGCTGGTGAGAAAAGTGCCATTGACGGACACATCTTCAATCCCTGTCGCCATGAGCAACAAGAATATGTGCTTGGGCCCATTTTTAAGGAGATTCCCACTGAGCTTCCAGCTCTGTATCCACGTCTAGAAGATCATTGTCTCATTTACGAAGGTGGTCTTGATTGGGGAAGCTAGAGGATGAATCGATCCCATTACTGCTGGCCCATAGTGAGACCAGAGTGGAAGGAATGATATGATCGAGTCGTCCCTGATAGGACACTGGATCTTCAGGAGCTCTACCTCTTCGATGCCCTCCAATTATCCAGGTTTACCATTTCGGAGGACCCTTTTTTAATACCTGTTGCCCTTTATTTTTGGAATTCTACTTTTAATTTCTTTCAATTTAGATGTGGGATGATGGCTCCTACTATCTTTGACATCTGCCATCTATTAAGATTTTCCCTTACTGGTACCCTCATTGGTCTAGACTATCTTGACCTCAAAACCCATTTTTCCTTCCCCTTTCTAAACTCATCCTATAGTGACTTTGTCAAGGTTGAGAATAAAAAAGAGGGCCCTGTGACTGATAGGGAATTTTTCTCTTTTCTATTGTCTTATCTTTGTAAGTTCCTCTTCTGTACCTCTTCTCAAAGGATCATGCCTGAATTTGTCCCTTTTGCCAAAGCCCTTGTTTTACAAAGAAAGATGGCCTTAGCTCCATACGTTCTAGGTCATGTTTATAGAGCTTGTTCCATTTTTTGTGAAAAACCCTAGGATGCCAATCAAGGAGGCCTATTTTGGATACTTTAACTTTGGCTCTTTGCACATTTCACCGAGTTATAGTCTAAATGCCTAAGGTTTTTGGAGCCAAACCCTACCACTCATGGCATGAAGTTAGCCAATGTTTCACTCTATCCTTCAAACTTTTCTTTTTACTTTTCTTTCTTCCACCAACTCCCAGTTTCCCCTTCTTCTCACAGCTTCCGTCCCTTTGAACCTACCAATATTGGCCCATCCTGGTTGAGGACCATTTTGAGTGATAGGTCCTGTTCTACACCCCAACACAAAAACATATGGGCCTCTATTCTGATTCCCGGAGAATTATTCATTGGGACTATGAACCCCAAAGCTTACAAATGCATCGCTGAGCCCTATTATCCTACCCAATTTGCTAGGCAATTTGGATTCTCACAAGGGGTCCCAATACCTCTTGCAGTCAGACCAATTTAAGCCTTACCAATAGGGATCTGAGGTTCGAAGATCTAGATTGGAAGAAGCAACTTCCAAATTCATCCAGGATTTCATTGACTTTGAGTATTTCCCCTTCATACCTCAAAGCAACATACTAAAAAGGTGCCAGAACTAGTGGATGGCCAATATGGAGATACACTTGGCCATTCCTCCTCAAGATCTGTTAATGGTACTGGATGTACCTCAAGCCAAGTCCAAAGGGACTGGAGTTGTTACCTCCTCCACTGCTCATGCTACCTCAGCTCTTGCGCTTGTCACTACAAAGTCTGTTCCTACTACCTCAACTCCTTCTAGAGTTACTCGAGCTGCCTCGAAGAAAAGTACATACTCCTATTTTTTTTCTCTTTCCTTTTTTATGATGCTCTTGTCCTTACTTATAGCTCTTTCTTTGGTGTAAGTGGTGCTGGTGCCTTACATGGAGATTCTCCCCAAAAGGTTCAAGCTTTAAATCTTCTCAAGAGTAAACAGCAACAACAAAGGAAAAGAAAGCTCTTACTTGACCCTGAAGAAGAGATACTTGAGGTTCATGTAGAAGCAGAAAAAGAAGAGACAGAAAAAGAGCAAGAGACACCCTTAAAGAGAAGGAAGAAAATGAATGTCTCTCTGTCTGATTTCACTGGAGACCCCATTCACGAAGCATTTGCTAAAGCAGTGGAAACAGAATATTCCAAAGAACTTATTGTATTTCAGAGGGCTGAGAAGACGAGGCAACAGCAAATGCTTAGGGATGAAGCTGCTACTGCTGATGCACTCCAAAGAGAAGTTGCAAGAAAACAACAAACTGCTAGACATTATACTCTTCGCAGCTCTCCAATCATAGCCATCACTTGTGAAACCAATAATTTCCTTCGTGCCTCTATTCTCCTTTCTCAAATTCTTGATACTGAGACTTGACATTACTTTGTATTTCTTCTTTTGCAGCAACAACTACTCTACTTTGTCCTTCAATAAGGACTCCTTCCATCTCATTTGAAGTTGAAAGACCTCGAACTGTGGAACCAATTCAAGCAATACTCTCACTCCCTGGTCTTATATTTTTCAAACCTTTCTTGAGGCAAAACATTCCTACATCCCTATCTTTTGGCTTAACTCCATACTTTCCTCTTCTATCCTTCAACTTGACCCAATTTATTCTCCCTCCAAGCCTTGTTGTCCCTTCCTCTTCTAAGGAAATTCCAGCTATTACTTCAGCTATTACTTCATCTCCAGTGATAGCTGATTCCTATAGAGAAGATACTAGTAGCTCACCAATTCCTTGTCCATTATCTCTACCTAGCTCCAGTCCCTCTTCTCTTGACCTACTGGTAGCTAAGACTATAGATATTGCTAGGGATACTTCACCTTCCCCTTTTATCCTTACGTAGCCATCTCTTCCTCATATCAGAACCCTCTCTGTGCTAACCATATCAACAGAAGAAGTGGACATTTTTGAAGCTAGGCTAGCTAGCCTTTTTGACGTGCCTTCCACCACTCCAACAGATAGTAATGAAACTAAGCCATTAGTCCTAGCTGATTTTCTCCTAGAAATCTTTGAGAGCTCTTCCTCCACCAGTAGGACTTTCTTGCCTTCATTGGACTTGGACAGTTGTTTGGAATTGTTGACATCTTTCTCGAGGATCCCTTTCGAAGCCTTGCAAAGGCCTATTATCAAGAATGGCTTCCTCCAATACTGCAAAGTTGTTGAGTAATCCAGCATGACTATTTCAAGTCACTTATCTCAGACGGCAGCCACCATTGACTTTTACATCAACATCTGCCATGTTGCCAAGGCTGCAAAAGAGAAATTGTTGAGAGACCAGAGTTTTGTTTCCTAAATACATGTTGAAGTGTCAGAATTGAAAGAGCAACATTCCTCTATCTCCCAATTTCAAGCTCAACTATTGAAGAAGAAAGCTCAGCTTGAAGAAAAGTTATCAGCAGTCAACCAAGCCGTAGATCGAACTGCCACCAAGCTGCAGATCACTAACCAAGGACTAGTTGATCGAAAGCAGGAGATAGCTACAGCTATTCAATTGTTCCCATCTCTTAAGAGTAGAGAGTCTATTGTAAAGGAACAGCTGAAACATTGTACTGACTTTTAGGCCAATCTATGATTGCATGTATTCAACTCATTATAAAATAAAATCCTTATTTATCATTTGAGTGTTTTCATGTTCTTTTCATTTAGCACTTATTATATTCCTTGTGT